CTGCGTGAGAATCAGGAGAATAAATAAATGTTAGCTGCTGAGAGCAGAGTCTGATACATGATAAGCATCATCTACTATTGCAATTATTATTACTCACTACCCTCAACACACTTGCATTTTTAAATTTTTGTATCTTTTCTCAGTTACCAGTTTCTGCAATGCTCTTTCAAAGCTTCTCTCCACTCCTGAATTCTACCCATCTTTCAAAGTTCTGATAAGGCTTTTCCTTTTCTACAAGCTTCCCATAACTGTTCAGTTCACAGTGTTTTTTCCTGTGTACAGATTATCTATTCCAGTAATTTTGCAAATGGTCACTTGTTGCTTCATGGTACTTCTTGTACTGCTACCTTATGATATTAACTTTTTTTAAAAAATTAATTAATTAATTATTTTTCTTTATTTCTAGGAGAGAGAGAGAGAGAGACAGCGTGAGCAGGGGAGGGTCAGAGAGAGAGGGAATCATAGACTGAAACAAGCTCCAGGCTCTGAGCTGGCAGTCAGCACAGAGCCCGACGCGGGGCTTGAACCCACGAACTGCGAGATCGTGACCTAAGTGAAAGTTGGACGCTTAACTGAATAAGCCACCCAGGCGCCCCCCTTGTGACATTAACTTAAAATAAAATATCACCTAGTCTTTCCCAGTTAGCTTTTGAGTCCTTTGAACGTAGGGACTCAGGAATATCTTTGTATAGAGCTCAGCACCTCAACATGCCTTTCCAATAATACCTCAATAAATATCTGTTTATTTGACTTAATCTGATCCACGCGTTGAATGCAAGTTTGCTGGATGCTTTTGGAAGTGGTGAACTGGAGGCAGTATAGAAGAGTTGGAACCTTAGTTATTCACTTGTAGGGCATTTATGGGATGTCTGTGCAAGATGCTCAACTTCCACCTTGTGCCTAACAGGGTATCAGTCCCTTTGCTCCAGGAGGAGGAACCAGGACTGTCTGATGGGTAGAGATCCACTAGGATGAGATCAGGTACTGGGTTTGGACAGAGGCGCAGACCTGGCAGCCAGAAGGGCTTTTAGAACAGAAATTGCAGTTCTCTCTCTCCCTGCAGGATGCAGGGAGGCGAGGACAGAGTCCCCAAGGCTGGCTGCAACATAAAATGGTCTCGTAAAGAGCAGGAATTTCCATAAAGAAGTTTTGCAAATTCAGACCTTCCTTCCTTGGTTGCTCAGAGTTGCCCCTGGGTGGAAATCTTTGGCATCTAAAAGGGCCAGGGCAGGTAAGATAGGTGAAGGGCTAGTGTGGTATTGGGTCAAGACTTCTGGGTTCTGGTGCAGATTCTTTCACTTACTTCCTGGTTGGCTTGGACACTGATGTCATTGCCATTCTCCTAAGTCCCCTCATCTGTCAATGAGGGTGTTGGATCACTATGTAATAATCTCTAGGGTCCCAGTTCTTTGTATTATTGTATCACCTGAGAATTGTTCTCATAGCAGAGTCATTGTTATCTACAAAGTACAAAGGAGACCTCCTTTGTTTGAAATTCAGATTCCTCTTCTGACCAGTGAGGCTCAACTGAGTCAGTCCCTAGGGTATGGGATGATCTCATTTATTGGGAGTGGCCCCCGCTTACAACAGTCTTGGAATCCTTTTCCTTCTCCACCGAATCTGGGAAAGTAAGGACTTGAGATGCAGTGCAACAAAGAGATGGCAGGGTAATAATGGGGCAAAGGTCTTAAACTGGGACCATCTCTGTTTGTCTAATCAATTGTCCTTGACTTTGGGTTGTCACTGAGTGTTTCCTCCTTGTACCTCTGGTGAAAGAACTGGAGTCACAATTGCTGATGAGGGTAAAGTTCTAGGGAGGTGAAGCAAGACTGCACTGAGGCTTCGTGCCAAGTGTGCATGGTGGTCAGAGAACCGTCACTGGCCTTGGGCTCCACCTTACTGATGCATTCCCCAGGCATACTTACCCCTCCCACTGCCAGAAGGCACTCTCTCCTTCCAGTCACCCAGATGTCCTCAGCAGGTTTCCTTGGATGCTCTGGCCGCTCCAGCTTCAGTACCACCCCACCCTCTCAATTTAAGCTCATTACAGCCCCTCCCACGGACTCACCTCTACTCTCGGCTAAGACAGCTGGTATGCCTTCTTTATTTACATCAGGATCCAGGATCACTGAGGTCATATCTCTTCATGCTTCTGAACCCATCTTGTGCCTGAAAAATAATGTCAAGGAGGAGGATATTATTGTTGCCACCATGAGAAACTGCTGTATTCTAGGACTTGGGGAATACCGTGGCCGGCAGATGACTGTCTTAGACAGAACATGTGCAAGGATACCATTTCTTGTAGGCCAAGTGGTCAAAAGTGGAAATGGATATCCGTCCTGTTTACTTATTTTGCCTTCTTTACTTTGCCTTACCTCTTCCTGGTAATGCAACAGTCCTGGCTAAGTGCTTGGATCTGTGACAGTTGTGGGAGGGAGAGGGAGGGAAAAGAAAACACACACGCTGAACCTCCAAGGAAATTACAGTCTGATCAGGAAAGCAAGGCATATATACATTTGCAAGAATTCATAAGGGTGTCTGAGAGTATGGGAATTTTACCTGGAGTCTATGTTGAGCTTAAGCATCTAAAAATCCCAAATTTATCTTTCTGGAGAGATGGTCCAGAGTTTTTGGATTTCAAAGGCACACTGGACTACTCACAAGGATGAGAAGCTGAGCTCAAGTTAGAAGACCTGGGTGGAGTTCTGGCTTTCCACTTGCTATCTGTGTGATAGCACATTGTCTAACTGCTCTGATCCTGTTTCTTAATCTCTAAAATGGGGAGAATAATTTGTGCCCTACCTCTCTCATAGCATAATTGTGAGGATCAAATAAGACAAGTGTGTGAAAGTATTTCTTAAACCATCAAGCAGCATACAGGTAAAAGGTGTCATAGCCAAAACCAAAGGACAGCCTCCCCAGGGCCATGCCCCAGAACCACAGGGGAGCCAGGCAGCCAGTGCCCAGCACAGCTCTCTGCCTCTGTGAGCCCTGGGGCCTTGTTTGCTAAAGGCAGGGCCTCTTGCTCCCTCAGCTGCATGGAAAATACTATTCTGGCTAAACCTAGATTTTTTTTTAACCTCTTCACTCTCTTCTATTGCAGTCCCCATTGCCATTCCTTACCACCCAGCCAACCTCTATGAAAATGGTTTCCAAGGGGAATCTGGGTTTCCAGTTACATCACTACCAAATAATTTATTCCCTTCTGGAAGAGACCCAGAGATAAGTTGGGAACAACCTGTGTGGAAAATGAGAGGCCTGGGGACACCTGGGTGGCTCAGTCGGTTAAGCGTCCGACTTCGGCTCAGGTCATGATCTCACGGTTCATGAGTTTGAGCCCCGTGTTGGGCTCTGTGCTGACAGCTAGCTCAGAGCCTGGAGCCTGTTTCAGATTCTGTATCTCCCTCTCCCTCTGACCCTCCCCTGCTCACGCTCGCTCCCTCTCTCTCTCTCTCAGAAATAAATCAAACATAAAAAAAAAAAAAAAAGAAAATGAGAGGCCTGGTAGCCAATCCAAATATCGCAGGCCAATCTAAATACTGTAGACAGAATTTCTGTGAGCAAAGGCTTTCTAAAAAAAACATTTGCCAAAATGGCTCACATCTCTGTAAGCAAAGATCTAGGTACAAGTTCATGAAACAAATGACACAGAGGTGGCTTAATGAAGGGTATCTGGCATATAGGTGAGAGGTGGGCCAGTGGGGACTGTGGGTCTTTCATCTATCCATTTCTCTCTAGCAGCTGCTGAAGGCCTCTAATGCCATATGAGTTTTTTTCTTTCCCACTCTAGAAGAAAATCTGGGGAGCTAGCTCATCCATGACATGCCTCTGTCTCTACCTTGGATGTTATCTGCAGCATTGTAGAACACAAAGGCTCTTGTTCTCTCAATACATACCTCTGGAGGAGAGTCACAGCCATGGTGACAGCCATCCTCTGTGACCCATTCTAGTGTTTAACAGTTGTCACATCTTGAAATGTGGGTCTCACAATGACCTTAAGATTCCATCTTAGCAGTTTTTGTTTATTTCCTGTTTCCTCTGGCTTCTAGTGATTAGAGGTGGGGAACAGCCACTTCTCAAGTTTTCCACTTAAAAGTATGCCTTTAAATACTTGATCAAAGTGGGCCCCCTTAACCTACATTTATCTAGACCTAATAATCTAAAAAACATTTTATGTGCTCACTAACTGGATTATAAACTTCTCCAACTGTTCTGTAATCTCTGCTACCTGACCCCCAGTTCTCCCTCCAAGTACTCCCCTGCAGTGCTCCCCTCCCCTTATTATGCACCCACTTCTCTTCCCTTCCTAAGAACCTTTTCATCTTTAGTTCACCAACATTTGAACAGCTGTACAAGCACAAAATGTTTAATTTGGGAACGGTGTCTGTGGGAAGGAATGCTTTGTTAATTTCCAAAGTAATGCAAAGCTTAATTTAGAAAGTCATATAGCAATTGTTTTGGTTCTGGAAGTCACAGAGATTATAGATTGCACTGCAGAGGCAACCTGCCTGATGATGTTAGCACTTTGCAGTTCTGGGTTTTTCTGCAGCAGTTCATTTTTATTCCCCATCAGAGACACAGTGGGTCACTCCAATAGAAGCATTTGCTCCCTGAGGACAGGGCCTAGGTCTTGTTCAGACTCTCTGTATGGCCTCAGCCTAGCAAGGGCAAGCAAGTGGTAAATGTTTTTAAGTTGCATTGCCTGTCTGTCCCCCAACTCTCTACTTTGGTCTTAAACTTGGTTCCAAACATGTTCTGGAACCAGGAAGTGATGATGGTTACCAAGTATTGAGCAGGGCAGAGACAACTGTGATTTGATCATAGCACCACTACCATCCTTGAATCCAGGAGGCTTAAAGAAAGTTAACGTACGAGGACTGAAGAGTGTCATGTCCTGCCAGATCTAATATTAGAATCCACCTCTCAGGGACACATATTATTGGATCTGAAAAATAATGAGAACCTGGATAGAACAGAATAGATTTGGAGGTTAGGGACCTTAACGAGTAGAAATGAGGAGGGTACATCACTGCCATAGTCACATTACTTAGGGCTGGACCTGAAACAGCTCCTGCGGAGCAGCACTGCCCAGGAGCCATCTGTATGCTGTGCCTGCTCAGGGTCCTCTTTTGGCCTCTCTGGAATCCAGGCAAAGCTGCCTTCCATCAAATGCTTGGGGTACTTGACTGTCATGGGATGTTCTGGAACCTTAAGACATACACTCAGTTGCATTTCTTGATTCTCCAGAGCTCCAAAGCCCAGAAAAAAGATTTCAATCTCTGTTACCCCATGAAGTCAGATATACAGATTGTGTGATAAACTAAAGGTCCCCCAAGGTCAATCTGGAAAGAAAAGCAATGAGGAAGATCCCTGAGAGAAAGTCACCATGAATGAAGATACTGCCGCAGAGTGGGCCAGATCCAGTCCAGCACCTGAATATTAGATAATAAGAGGTTCCATGTAGAGTGCAAAGCTTAGTCCCTCTCTTTCTCCCCTGGAGCCCCTCAACCCCTGATTCCACAGGAATTTCAGTGTGTTCTGGAAATGAGGGAGCTGGGTCTTACTTAAGAAACAAAATACTGTGTCACTAGAGGTTCAACTATTCAGGTGTAGGCATCTTTTCTAAAAGACCTGGATAATCTTGTCCTGCTGGTCAGGGAGGTCAGTGGTTGGGGGAGGTGGGCAGCAGCGTAGCAGTAACCAATTGGCAGGGGAGAGACTATAGGGTAGCAAGGGCAGCCAGCCTGGAGGACAGAGACAAGAGAACAGACATGAAAGACGTGACTGCACAGCTAAGTGGTGTTAGGATTAGCCTATTTTGCTGCACAGGGTACATTTTATTCAAAGCATTAGTTTTTGTAAGATCGAAATCTTTCAGAGCTCAGCCCTTGGGTGGGTTCATCTCCATTTGGTTTTCATTTATGTTACTAGGGGACCTAGGATGATACAGAGAAATAACAAGAAAGAAGCACAAAAAGAAACACAGATTCAGAGAAAACCAGAATTACAGAGATACAAAGGGATATTAGAGAGTTTGAGAAAAGGGATTAGAGGTCGAACAGAACACAGAGGAAATAATTTGGGGGGAGCGAGAGGCAGGGAGACAAAGACCTATTAAATCAGTGTTCTGCGAGATGTTAGCTGAGTCCCCTAGAATGATGATCAGGCCTTTCTGAACTGCGCCTGTCTGGATTAAGAACCCAGGAGAAACCACAAAGGTTCATTGTTTTGTTTGTGCGGAGTTTTGGCTCCAGGCAACCACTGCGTTGGTGTTCTGACACACTGCCTGAGCTCCCCCTGCTGGCCACTCTGCAGAATTTCACCATTTGGGTCCAAGCAGAATCAGATTACGTAAGTCTTCTTGAGCTTTGCACACCCATTTTTTTTCCTTTCCTTTTTTGCAATTAAAAAAATTTTTATAGCCCTAGTTCCTGGTTTCTCCGAAGCCTGCTCTTTGATTCTGGGTCTTAAATGCCCTGGCTTGATTGCCATGGCCCTAAATGCCCAGTGAGGGCAGTCCTCAGAGACCCACCCTAATGAGGGTACAGGCAGGAGGCTGGCTGAGCAAACATATTTAATGAACACATGCCACATACAAAGTGCTGCGGAAAGGCCTGAAGGGAGCTCATTTGGCCTTTAGTCTTCTTGTCTGAAAAATGACTGCTAGAATTAAACTGGTCTTTTGGGGTTGGGGAGAGGGTCCTCCAACTGTACCAGCCTTCTAGAATAAGTCCTGAAAAGAGCCTATTGGGGCAGCAGTGATGGCGCCCTCCTTCTTCTTTTCCTTCTCTCTCTCCCCTTCATCTTCTCAGCACGAGGAAGAGGAATTGCAGTGGCAAAACCCCTGGGGCTGGAAGGAGAAAAACACAAGTCTCCCCAAATGCCAAGCCGATGTGACTGCTAAGAATAGCTTTTATCTCTGGGAGGAAAGGCAGAAGACCTGGTTCTCTCTTCCCTCCAACTGAAGGTTGATTTTAAAGGGGCAGCAGCCAGCCGTGGGAACACAGTAAGCCCTGTCTTTCCTAAAATGATTTGAGTTCCAAGTCATAAAGGCTAGAGAGGGGCGATGTGGGAGGAGAGAACATGAATCCAGAGGACCAGGGAAGGAGGTAAAAGAGGAGGCAAGAGGAAGATGGAAAGGAAGAGACAGAACAGGACACAGGAATATC